GGCTGGTATGCGCAAAACGTGACCCAGCCATCGGGGCCTGGTGCGTCATATAATGCTCCTGAGCGGTTCACTCACTCTCCCTACACAAAATACGCAACGCCGAACACCTTCACTGTTCAGGCGGTTTCTCCGCCAGACATGAGCTATGCTGCGATGCTCGCATGTAACGAGCCTTTTATGGCTGTCGATCTAATGGGCCAGATTGCACAACAGTACATGAGGGCTGAACGGAGGGCTGCATTATAAACTCTGTCCTTCAGAGTGAGAGGGATGTCGTGTCTGCACCACAGGTGACGAGGAGTGGAAAAAGCACCTCGAGCTTTTGCTATACGGTTCGTAATCTCATCTTCAATTCTACGGACGCTAATATAGATGCCCAGGTACTCGAATTCCTGAACGACTTCTAGCAGATAACCACCAAGCGTTAGCGCAGGGTTGGGTCCCTGCCAAGCTTGGAGAAGTACTTTGCATTTCGACGGAGCAAAGCATAGCCAAAAAAGCATTGACAGCCAGTGCTAATCGGTTCAGTGCTGCTTCACATGTTTGGAAGCTGTCACAGATTAGGGCAATATCGTTCGCATACTCTGTCAAGAAGTCGCTCACCAGAAAGTAGCTCCACACCTGCTAGGTCGTGTCCAGCGAACGCTGTTTCCACGATTTCATCAATAGCGAAGTTAAAGAGGAAAGGTGACAGCGGGCAACCTTGTCTCAAGTCGATAGAGATACTGAAGGGTGGCGACAGTTTGCCATAAACCCTCACTATACCCGAACTATGCGCGTACAGCGCTTTGATAATGTTTACATACTTAACAGGCACACCTTTCCTCAGCAGACAGCCCCAAAGGGCACATCGATCGACTGAGTCGAAGGCACCTTTTATGTCAAGAAACACGACGACGGTGGGTCGCCAATAAACATCGCGGTGCTCCAACAATTGACGCAAGGTGAAGATGTGGTCGATGCAGCACCGACCTCGACGAAATCCGACTTGTTCTTCACGAATCTGGCTTTCACGAGTGCCAGTCAGTCTGTGGAGAATGACAGAGGCAAACAATTTAGAGGCAATCGAAATCAGACTGATCCCTCTATGAATGCCGCATTCCGAACGGGAGTGTCGCTTGAAAATTGGAACAGTGACGGAGAGGTTCCAGTCTGTCGGGACTGTCTCCTGCTCCCAAAGTTTTACTAGCAACTCGTGTGAATCATCTATCAGAGTAGGTCCCCCGAATTTGAAGAGGGCTGGGGGAATTCTATCTGCCCCCGCGGCCTTATGCAATTTCAACAGCCTGATGTTGTCGCGCTCGACTTTTGCGCGTGAGCGCAGATCCAAGGAGACGGCCCAGGGAGAAGGGCGCTCAATGCCCGAAAAAGAAACCTATAACTCAGATTGATTAAATTGCCTTGCAAAGTGTTCAGCAAAACGCTCCAAGTACTTTGACAGGCTGTGGATCGGTTGCCCACTCTCGTCGTGTATGGTCTAGCTAACACCAGAGATCAACAGGCTGATAAATCGTCATCTCGGGTTACACTCACCTAGGGATGCGGCAAGTATGGACAGAGATTCTGCGCTATCCTACCTCGAATTTCCATTTCGGTAAGACTTCTACATGTTCTTCGGCTGGACCTGACTGCAGAATTCCTCCTTATGCCCAAGCTTATGGCACGTTTGACAAATATGACATTAGAACGGACAGAAGCGTGCGAAATGCCATTCGCCGCATGACCAGCATGCTGTGGGCGGATTATTCGTAGACCTCTTGAAGGGTTTGTTTGGGTCGATAGACCTGGCCATTTTCACGAAGTGCACGGTGTCTGGTGGTAGGAGACCATTCCGTTCGACTGGGGCAGTGTCGTGTTTTAGTGTAAGCAGCCGTTTTCATTCGCTTGCGAGGGCCTTCAGTGTCAGATCACGACCCCGATTAGCTAAAAGCTGCGTGCGGATCTCAGTATCACTGAGGGATTGTAGTGCAGTGAGGAAAATGAGACACTTAAACTGATCGTCCGTTAAAGAGCGTAGTTTGTAATGCGCACACTCACGGGAGGGCCGCAAAATCGTCAGATTCCCGTGTGACAATTTTCATGCATTGATAGCGAATAATAAACAAGAATATTGACCCACAAAAATTTCCTTCAGCTGCGATACTACTTCGTCAAACGTTAGATCCTTCGGCTGTTGGCGCAGAATGTGGTCTACGAACCTTGAATGTGCACTTGTTCCGAGCTTGCGGAGTAGCAATCGCACCTTCAAGGAGTCGTCCTGACGAATGAAGTCCGTCCGGAACATGTCTTCCCAGCGCTTGAACCACGCTTCGAACGTGCATCCAGAATCCGCGTCATAATTTAATTCAGTGACTGCATTCGTGAGAAGATCAACAGAACTCGCCTGCATGTCCCGCGTCATTCCTCCTGTTGTCTGAAAACGCAAGCATTGTATCAGATCTTAGATCATTTTCATTTGTACCTCCATTTGAGATTGCTATTGGAAAAGCAGCTTTGTAATTGCACAGCAGAAAAATTCATCACATTTCCAATTTTCCCAGTCGCCATTTGTTATAATGTTCTCATTAGACGCGATGCCGAAATTGGCACTTTACTGCTCCACAAAACTTCTAGCCCAACCGAAGGAAAAAGCAGAACACCAATGACCTTGGCAAAGGGAGAGAATTTCTCGAAGCGTGGTTCTCGACAGAGTATTCAATAAATCAGCGCATCGACTTAGAGCCGCTATACCAACAGCTGCGGAAAAAAAGAATTTACGTGGGTCATTTAGCACATCAGTTGAAAAGAGGCGGCGCCTGAAATGCGAACTAGCAACGGTCACGGGAGTGAATCGAGGTGGCCAAGTTCAAATATCACTCGCTCGTCGGTAAGAGTATACAAACTATTCAGTTTGCTTATTACGCACTGAAGAAGTCACCTCAATTGGCGATGTAACGTTTGCAAAGAAACTGTTCAGCTCGGAGAACAGAACAAAATCTGAATCAAGCCTCATGTTTCCCTGCCATTGTACGAAACAGTGGTTAGGCCACATGTAATGTACTGTGTTCAGACTGGGTCATCGTATCTCCGTGGTGATGTTCTTTGCATGAAAAGATTTAAAAACTGGCAACCAAGATGACTGTAGGTCAACATGGGAAGTCGTAAGAAGATCGCCTAAAGAGTTTGGGGTTGTTTTCATGAAACGGCGTAGACTGAGATGTGATCTGATAGACGATTAAGATAATTGAAGGGTCTCAGTGGCATCAAGCCTACGGATCTGTTTGAGCTGGCTGCTCCCGATCACTTGCGCGGACATCGTTTAAAACTAAAACAACAGGGTTAGATAGGACAACAGGGCGAAGTTTTGCACGAACCGTGTGTGGAATAAAGTGCCTCCGAAGTTAGTGAACTGCGAGACTTTCAAAAGTGTTGGCCACATCCTTTTCCAGAATTAATGTAATTTCATCGCAAGTTAGCAGCAAGACCTTTTGATGTTGATAAATGGAAATGTAAAGATTGCCCTCGTTCTTGCTTCATTTCTTGTTGCAGAAGCAAGGAGATGCGATCAAACGTCGAAGTGCAGGGGGCTCTGGTTCACTTACCAGCACGAGAAGCAGGACGCACTCTAGGCGGAAGCTTGCCGTTCCTTGATCTTGACCTTTCCTAACCTAATACTCTACCTGAGAACAACGTACAGACACCGACGGTTAAGATGTTTGAACACCGAATTGACGCCCTTAGTTTGCAGCTACGATTCATCCCCTTTACATCCTAGCCTTCATGAAAAGGTTACATTTTTGTTTTCACTTCTTGATGTCCAGTGTTTATTTTAGCTTGTCTGTTGTCTAGTTCAGTTTCTTCCCTTCCTCCAGTTTTGCTCTATTTCTATTTCATGCGACTAGCAAAGCGGGTACTGCTGGTGCAGGACACAAGGGCACTGATTGGCTGACTGCGGTGAGACGCGCGTGCCGATTGTATACACTCAGAGAACAGATCGATTCCCGAAACCCATCTCAGATGAACGACGCTTTCAAACTGGAACATTCATGGGGTTCTGATATTATTGCTGTCCCACTTGAACCTGAACTAAAAACTACTTCAGACGCCATGATGCGAAAACAATACACCGGATGTACGGACGTCTTTGTAGCGGACAAAATGCGATGATGGATTCAACACGTCGGTGAACGTGAAACTGCGCGACGACCGGAGTAATCCGTGTCTGTCAGCCTTTCGTTCAGCATGAGCCATATTTTATAGCGCTTTTTTCTGTAACTACCGTTGCTTTTTGACTAGAAAGAACAGTTTCTGAGTGCTGGTCGCGAGTTTGTGACTTAAGTAGCTGCCGGTAATGTACGGAAAAGCGGGGTAGTAAAGGACTGAAGCAAATGGGTTATAGGTCCATTCGGTTAGGCTCCGATCTGACCATCCGATGAGTCCAATTTGACCGTCCGGCTTCCATGACAAAAGCATGTCCCATCCGGTATCAGATCGGTCGCTTATCGGACAGTTATCGGATAGCTATCGGTCAACTGTGACGGAAGTCATGACCGCAAAAGTAGCAAGCGTTATAGAAAATGTCATGAAACTCGACAAGCGTGATTAAAGAGAACTACACCACAAACGGTTTTAGGTCAATGTTAACGTACGTGAATTCCGTGGTTTTGCTGTGCAACTCGAAATCCTCCTTCAGCATGACCTAACTGGGAACGGTGGGATGCGTCCGGTCGAGAGTTCCGAGGGATTCCGTGTTCAGGGTGTATAAGCGTCGCTTTAGACCTGGGGAGATGCAGTGCAAAACAAATACCTAGTAGGCGGTTGGATGGAGTTATCCCAACCAACTAGTAAAAAACCACAAGAAATGTAAAGTGTGCCTGGTTAAAACCTCGGTGCGAGCTGGATGTCGAAGTAACCAAACCTGAGTTGAGTGTATGGCAAATACAAGCAGTTTTGTTGGCTGCAAGTGAAACGGGAAACTAAAACAATAATGGCCGTCTAATCGAGACTTCACGATCTCTTACCTTAAGGGTCACTATAGAGTCGCGCACCGGGAATTGAAGTTGTAGGCAGTGTTCTGCCGTAAAGGAGAGGATAGGAACGAAACAAGCTTCCACTTAACGAGCGTCTCGTTTCGTGTGCCAGTAAGCGAAAAAGAGCCCCCAGCACTGCGACTTGATAGAACGTTCTGTATTCTACAATGGAGAAAAACAGAAGCAAGTGTAAGACAACACATTTTCATGAGGTCATGAGATTAGGCAGTCATCGAAGATCACAGAAATTCTGGGAACAGGGCCTAGCAATTTTTGCTTAGGCTACGTATAAATTCCTCTACCGTTTCGCAGACCAATAAAGCAGAGGGAAGTTTATTAACACTAGACACAATCCCGTTTGCAAAGAACCTGGCTCTTAACTCTTTGCAATGGCCTCACAAGTTGTCTGATATGGCTGGTTCAAACAGATCAGTCGGCCAGAGACCACTGAGACCCTTCATGATTTTGTACGTCTCTCTTAGGTCACCACACAATCTTCGTCTCCATACTGGAAACAAGACTGTTAGCTAACCGATCTTCGTTCGATAACCCACGTTGACCTATCATTCAAGTGGTCAGTCTGCACATTCTCAATACAAATAATACGTTTGTGTAGGTAGAGTGCCCATGCCTGAACACAGTATTCCAAATGTGGTCTGACATCAGCTTTGGTACAACTCAGAACCCTCCTGAGACGAAATCTAGATCAAGTTCAGGTGGGACTGGAACGGCAGCAGATTCCCGCGAGTATTCTTTCTTGAGTGGATAGTTGAAACAGGGATTGAGAAAGTGCCCGGAGTTCTTGATGGACGTAAAACGGAACACCTGTATCACACACTAGCCAACCAATTAAAGCCCACGTTTCCTGCCCTATTAGTACCTCATGTGGCAGGCAAGTGAAGTAAGCGAAGGATATGAAGAGGAAGCGAAGTTACAGAATAAGGAGATTCATTTGAAATAAGAGGATAACATCAATCCATGAAGGAAAGTAGAGAAAACAAAATTGAAACACGAATGTGCGAGTTAGTCAAGAAAAGGGAAAGGTTACGTACTGCTACGCAAGAACGTCAAGTTAATGCTCAAACTCGTTAACCATAGATTCCCTGATAACAATTTAAGGAAGGATGTTCAAGTGCTCGATGACTGGGCGTAACAGACGAATTCCAATCAGATCGGACCGTGATTTGGCCAGCCTCATGGAATGACCGCGGAGAACAGACAATCTAGCAGAAATGAACAGCCAAGATAAATCTAGGACAACCCTTCCAGTTAGTATACGGTAGGTTACGATTAGGTCCCCTCTAAGCCTTCGGTAGTACATTGAATGCATGCCCAAACTAAGTAGACGCTCGGGGTATGTAACCTCTCAACCAACCTAGTGCTCACCAGTAAAACTATCTCCATTTTGTCATGGACGAAGAAGGGCGGACAACAGTGGACGCAGTATTCCAGATGAGGCCGAACGAAAGCCGAGAACAGTCTCACAAAGATGTTGCTTGTCAAGATTCCAAAAGAACAGCGTATTAACAACAAGATATGGAAAACTTTGCTTGCGGCCTGCTTCCAGTTGTTTCCGGAGTGTAAGGTCGAAGAGTGTATCACGCCTAGATCAAACTGGCTGGATACACGTGGGAGTTCGAGCCCACCGAGTGCTTCGTAGGAGGACAACCCCCTCCAATTCAAAGAATGGAGCACGTTGTCTAATTTATGAGCAGTAACCATAGTACGCAGGCAACAATTCTAGCTAAGGCTCGCTGAATAGCTTCGGAACACCCAGGAACAACGTTGCACAGCTTCAGCTCATCAGAAAATAGCAGCGATGGTACCTCAAACTCCACCGGTAAGTCAATCACATAGATAGAGGACAGCAGCGGTCTAAGGACCGAGGTTTGTGGTATGCCACTGAGGATAGATTGCCTAAACCATAGACCACGGCCTACCCGTACACACTGTTCTGTACCATACAAGAAGGCAGTCACCCAGTGAAGGGCGCGACCAGTCATCATCATCATCATTATACTTGTCAGATAGAGGTGGGGAAACACCTCCGCCATTGTACTGCAAACACCTCCGCTATTGTACCGCAACCGCGCGACCAGATATACCGTAAGAACTCAGCTTTTGCGTAAGCATCAAATGGGATACTGTGTAAAATGCCTTCGAAAAGTCGATGTGGCCTTTATCTACAGCACCCGCCCAACTTTCGCTAGATACCAAAAGATTGGTCAGGCATGAAAATCCCTTCAGAAATCCGAGTTGGGCATTGCTAAGTAGATTAAATCTACTCAGATGACTTTTCAATGAACCTCTCACCAGTTTCTCGAGGAGCTTGACTACTACACTCGTCAGACTAAGTGCCCTGTAATTTGCAGGTAGACACCTGTTCCCATTTTTGAAGATGGGACAGATGACAGCTTCCTTTCATGCGGAAGGTGATACACAGCTGCCAAGCGATTTCTGAAACATGATAGAGAACGGTCTAGTTAGTTTCGCAGCCAACTCGTGCAACAGTTTCGGGTGAATTAAATCAGACCAAAGGCCTTAGAAGAGTTCGGCCATTTTAACAACCTACGAACTTCCGTCACCGCTACAATAGACAGACCCGAACACTCTGGGACCCTGCAAACCAGCTAAACGTGTGTCAAAGAGATTTCCCTTACAAATGTTACTTCATATTGTCATTAAGTACGCAGGCCTTGTCATAGTCCGTATGAGCATGAGTACCGTCATCACGCATCAACACTGGAATTGACTTATTTGTACCGCAACGCCTTTTGACATATGCGAAGAATCTTTTTGTATTTTCTGAAACTTCGTCTGCTAACCCCTTCACGAAATTAAGCCGAACATCCCTTAGGTGTGGCTTACACCTACTTCTAGCCTTACAGTACCTGTCATAAATATCGGTGGATGGAGCACCTTGGTAAATCCGCCAACACTTAGACCACTGCGAGCAGATGCCTGCCAGTGGAATCTATCCAGGGCGGCTGTGCTGGTGCCTCCTTTCTCTTTGTGACAGGGACGATGGGAGTAGAGACCTCTGTGAGGTAGGACTTAAATTTATCCCAGGCAACCTGGACAGTATCATAGCCTGAGATCACACAATGGAAACCCGAAGTTTTGGGTCTCATTGATTGTCTGAGTGGCTTATGTTCGGGCGAGAAAGCAGTACTGGTAACGTCTACCAGACGGTCAGTGGCCGAGTGGTCTGCACATTTGCTCTGCAACTATAAGGTCACCGGTTCGAATCCGCGTAGGAGTGGGCGTCCTCGCAATATACTCAGCCCAAGCGTGATTGGTGGTCGCGCGGCAGCGAAGCGCCGTTACGACGTACCGCCGACACATCCATTATTTACTGGTAGCGCCTAGACAAGGTACAACTAAAGAGCAAAGAAACAAGTTCACTGGAACCGAGTGGAGGTTCGTAAGTAATGTCACCAACAAAATCGAATGACTAAGCAAACACAGAGTCTAAGATAGACGGTACTTGGGCGTTCATGTACCTAGTGGGGAGGTCAACAATATGATGCAACGGTAATTGGAGCGTAAGCTCAATTAGATCGCCGAATGAGCCTGACGCTGTTACCAGGAAAATCTGACCATCAAACCTCCGGAAGGTAGATCATCATCATCATCATACCTGTTAGCTAGAGGTGGGGAACACCTCAGCTATTGTGCCGCAATACGCAGAAAAAAGGAGAAAAAAGAATTCAGCTGGGGCAAACCGGCTGAGCTACCGGTAGCGGATGGGCATCGTTCCGGTAAGCTACCAGCTGGCTACTATGCATCAAAAAAATTACTACGCAAAATTATACAAGGTTAAACAATGAGATCGTGGTTGGAGGGGGAGCCTAAGAGGGATGGGGTGGGACAAAGAAACTCACAGCACGAACGCCATTGAGGTCGGCTCCTAGCCATATCAGCAAGTGTGTCCAACCAAACGTGTTCATCGTCTTTCGGACCCCAACCAGAGCCGAGACGCGCCAACCGAGGCCAGCTCAGAAGTGAGGGCCTTCATTCCTCTCGACCAATTCATCGCTTGGCCACCCCTCCTCTTCTTCTATCCACACCCCGGCGCGCAAACAACGCACGTCGCGGGAGTCGGTGGGCTGGCATGCGTAACACGTGGCCGAGCCATCGGAGCCTGGTGCGTGAAATAACGGTGCTGAGCGGTTCAGTTCCTTTTCCTGTGCCATAAACAAGGCGTCGAACACGCTGGTTGCTCACGCGGTGTTCCCACCAGATGTGAGCTAAATTACGAAGGCACCGGTGGTCGAACGTAACTAGCCTCTTCAGGTCCGCTGCTTTAAGCAGCCAGGTTTCACAACCGTACAGTAGGGTCGAACGTACTGCTGCATTGTACGCTCTACCCTCCAGGGCAAGAGTGATGTCGCGCCGGCGCCATAAGTGGGGAAGGTTAACAAAAGCGCCCCGAGCTTTTGCTATACGGTTCGTGATCTCATCTTCAATCCCACGGAAGGTAGAAGTCGCCTATCATCAAACACTTGTTGCCTGACGGAAAGAATAAAGTCAAGAACCTCTCTGGATACACTCGCAGGGCTTCTTTACACAATTACAATCGCAACCTGAGCCGAGGAGATGCTAATCTCAGCTGACAGAGATTCAACAGTTTTGCATACCGACTGAAATGAGCAAGTCCTCAAAAGGTCCAGTGTACAGATCACCTAAAGAGCGACGTCTTCCTTGCCGGCCAACGGAGCGATGGCATCTAAAATGTGCGCAGCCAGATAGATGTAATTCAAAATCCGTTATGTCCTGAGACAACCGAGTTTCAGTGAATATGAGTATTTTGGGAGGAGACTCGTCTACAAGCAGACCTAACTAGTGAACCGTAATCCTTATGTTGAGCAGATAGCTAAACAATATCTGAAGAAATTCGCAATGTCCAGCCCTGAGTCGTGCGCTACCAGAACGGGCACTGGAAAGGCGGAAACAGGCCGCCGGCTGACCACCTGAAAATCCGCTAGCCGGAGACCTTATTACCGGCAGCTCGCCCGTTTTTGAGCTCTTTGATGGCCTCCTTCAGCTTTAGCCTATCTGCCAGCGGGAGGTCTGGCTGAAGGTTAACATCAGTACCCTTCAGGTTGAAGGCAAACCGCAACAGCGCGTTGGGTTCCGCCGGGG